ACTGTGAGCTAAATAAACCCTTCCTCCTTTAATTTTGAGCGTCGTGTATTTTGTCTCAGCAATGACAGAAAAGTAACTGAGACAGTGTCCTTGTAATGGACAAGTGCTAGTTCCACTGGGTGTAGAAAGGATTGGGGAAAGATTGTCCTTCATCTTTCAGATGTAAGATAATGTGATGTCTTTGCTGTCTGCTCATGTGTCTCAGAATACTTGGTAAGACCATGGAGAAAGCTGAAAATATAGAGGGTTACTAAAACAATCCCAGCTTATTTTAGAGAAACTGTTAATAACTTTTTATATGTAAAAAAGCAGGAAATGTTAAATCAGACAGGAAGGCAGGACACTATGCCTGAACCAGGACTGTCCAGGCCAAAAAGAGACCAGTTACAAGGAATACACATATTTTAAAGGAAGTTTCTTATAAGGACACTAGAGGGCGCTTTAGACTATAGTAAAAAATTCTTTTGTTTTACATAAACACTATCTCAGATTGATATAAATTTCAGTAGTGAACGGTTTAAAAACAGTAAATCAATATCAAGTAATTCTGATATATCTAGCACAAGAACAAATTCAAAACAGATGTTTTTATGTCCTCTCCCTCCTGCTTATAATTCTATTTTTGCTTTCTTTAGTAGTTTTATTTTTAATCTTCAAAAGTACTTGAAGGTTAGAGAAAGGCATTGTGACACTGGGGGAAGAATGTCCTTAGACTGGATGTCTGGTTCGGAGCTTGTGTTTCTGTCCCAACCTCTCTGATTCTGGACAAACTTTCATCTTTTGGGGCCTATTTCTTCATAAAGTATGGCAGTTTAACTAAATGACTCCTCAGCCTTCCTCCAGTCTAACATTCTCTAATTTTGACCCTTACACTTAATTTGATTAGTCTTGAATGTACCTTTGTGTATAGATTATCTAGAAAATACCTTTAGCTTAACTTGTGGGGCCTGGTGGGGGGGAGCTCTGAAAACTTAGTTCAGGAGAAAGTGGGGAGGTGGTTTGTTCCATTTGGAGCCCTGATCAGTTTCTTTATAATGGCTCATTTTATATTAGAAGTGTACAGAGCTACCTACCTCTTTGTCAGATGCTAGGAAATGTTCATCGAAGCACTGCTGCCTAGTTTTAACCTTTCCTTGAAGCAAAAATGATGGTCAAGTGTTTGTATTTCTCTTTCTTTCTTTCTTTCTTTCTTTCTTTCTTTCTTTCTTTCTTTCTTTCTTTCTTTCTTTCTGTCTTTCTTTCCTTCCTTTCTTGTACCGGAGATTGAACTCGGGACCTTGCGCTTGTAAAGCAGGTGGTAGAACCACTGAGCTAAATCCCCGGCCCTTTCACTGACTCTTATTTTTCTTTTTTGGTACCGGGGATGGAACTCAGGTCTTTGTGCTTGCTCAGCAGGTGGCAGAACCCTGAGCTAAATCCCTGGACCACTTCACTGACTTTCTTGATGAGGTTCAGGTTAGATAAAAACTTAGAGACCAAAATTATTTGAAATTTTAAATTAAGACTCATTAGTCTGTCTTGATGTTACCAAAACATCTGAGACAAGCATTTGGCAGATAAATAGAAGCCCTATCTGCCCTCGTATAATGGAGGCCAAACTTCAGTGGTCTGGTATTTGATTGAAATTTATTGCTGTATATTTTTATAATTCCTGAAGAATATGCTGTCATTCTTGGCTGAATTCCACTTCTGAATGAAAAATCTTGTTGTATGGGGTGCTCTCGACATGGGAAAAGGCAACTTGGCAACATTCATGTCTGTTGGGAGGAAATGGTTTGGTCTGTGGAGCTGTATAACTCTTATATTATGTAGACATAAAGAAGAGATTCTTAGCACGTTTTGAAATTTGTAAAATTTTCAATAACCCTTTGCAGATCTTTGTATCTCTGTGTGTACATGTTTGTGTGTGCATCTGTGTACACGGGTTTGTGTGTCTGGGGTCTTGAAGTGTGTTTGTGTTTCAGGTGTACAGTGATTGACAGCAATTCTTGAATTATAACAGTTTATATTTTGAAAGTTTCTTCACACTCTACAGTTTGTAATCTGTGAAGGTGAAACCAGAGTTGAGGAGATCATGCAGGGAGCTTCCATCTTTTGACCATTTCTTCAGGACTCATAGTGTCAGAACTGAGCTTTGAGAGAAACAGAAAAAGGCAGAGGAGGGAGGAAAGGACACAGGCTAGACCAGTGGACTGGGGTATTCTGATGGTCTCACTCTAGAGAATTTGGGCAGGTGAGTGAACAACTGGTTCTAAGTACAAGGTGAGTGCAGTAGAAGCCCAAGGAGGTCAGTGGGAGGAAGAGTCCATCCATCCATCCATCCATCCTCTCTGTAGTGGTACCTAGTTTGCAACCAGGTGTTGCAATTGGTGAAGAGAGTGTAAAAGTTTCTTTCCTTGAGCATTCTAAGAACAAGTGGGTCAGACAGATGTGTAAATAAACTGATAGAAAGTCATAAATATTGATCCGGGCCTTCCAGCCACCAGTGGACTGGTGAGCAGTGGAGCCACGTGGGCACCTGCAGCATCACCCCAGCATGCACCCCCCCCACCCCCCACCCCCGGCCTCCTGGCTGCACCTGTACCTGGATCCATACTGCAGAGGCACAGGGGGTCATAAAGGCTATTGTCCTGAGCTCCAGAAGATAGAGCAGAAGTGAACAACAGAAAGAGGGCCTTATTCCTTCTAAGTCCTCATCCTGAAGGGTAAAGTTGCTATATTGAAGAGTTTATTCACTATAAACTTATTTTGGGCTAGTCCTCGATTTTGATTTAATTCACATGGTTCAAGGTGATAGATTAATAACTACCACAAATTGTCATTTTCTAAGCTGTGCTTGAGTCTATTGTTGTGGCTGATAGTATCATTTGGGCTAAGGTGTTGTGATTGATCTAATTAGTTATCCTTCCTGGTATAATGAAAATGAGATAGCCTTAGAGTCATTAGAGACTCAAAACCTAAAGACCAGCTATATCTGGAAGACACCTCTGAGAAGCAGTCATTCCATAGGGTTCTAAATACAAGCAACAAAGATACTTACATTAAGCAATACTGAAGTATCAGCCCAGGAATTAAACCAAGGACTGTACCACCAACAAAAATAGAAATGGGAAGACATTTAAGCAAGGTACAAACCCTGTCTTCCAGCTTACCAAAGGCAAATTCTGGGGGAACTGAGATGGAAAAGTCTGATAATCAACCACTGGACACCCTGAACTGATAGCACAGGAAGTAACAAAACAGATGAATGAGGCTCTA